CTTTTGCTTTGTGTTTTCTCCTCCTTTCATTTTACCTTTCTCCTTCATCTCTTTGTGTTCTTAACTTCCCTGTCTTCTCCTCCTCTTCTGTCAGCTCTCTCTTCTTTCACCTCTTCCCTGTCTCTGCATTATTGATCTCAGGGACTTTTTAATTGAAATTTGAAAGTGCTCTAAGCCCCAACTTTCTTGCACAGCTCTGTGTGCATGGCCCAGGGATTAATTAGGAACAGTCAGCGCTATAGGAACAGCAGTATTCCCCCAGCAATCTTAATAATTCAAGACCATATTTAAAGCTCCACAGATCAAGGAAGACTGATGCACACAGGCAGAAAATTACTTAGCTGCTGAGGCGCTGCCTGCAGGCCCAACTGAAAATGAGAGGGTAGGAGGTGGTGGGGTATCACTGGGAGTTTAACAATGGCTCTCTGGGCTTGGAAAGCCTCAGTATTATTCCAGCAGTGCTGTTAACCCTATTAAGTTGCTTAAAACCCTTTGATTTTTTTAAAAGCTCATGGGTTCACCTATAGCCTTTCTCTTTATTGCTTGTGAATCAGGCTTTATCAGATTAATGCCAAAGCAATAGAAAATACTGGGCCAAATTCATTGCTCACTGGTACTTACTTCATGTAAACTTCAGCATGGGCCTTGTGCATATGTGATTGATGGAAGCATTTAGCATGGAGTTCTTCCTATGGCTTTTAATCATATTTAACACTTGTATTTAAGGAGTGATAATAAGGCACTTCTCAAAGGCGCTTAAACTGGTAAGAGAGAGCGCCATGGCCACAGTGGGAACGTTAATGAATCAATGGGCAGAAAATGCAGGATCCTTCTACACATCAGCAAAGGGAAATTAATAATAATAGAAATAGCAGCCAGTGCATTCTGTTAACAGCCCATCATGATCAGGAAAAAAAATCTGGTTAGTTCATTTACTTATTTGTGCCATGATAGCCCCAAAATGCTGCAGCTGAGGTCAAGGCTACATGGTGTCCAGGTACTGAACAAAAACATGGGCAGTCCCTGCCATGAAGAGATTGCAGTCCTGATGCCCAAGCATATCACTTGAATTCATCAGAGTTATTTTAGATGTGTTTTCTTTCTTGCTGCATGAGGTAAGAAGGAAATTTTACTGACCCCATTGATTTCTGCCCAGCTCTGAATGGGGACAGAAACAAAGATCCTGGTGGTACTAGCATTTTCTCATGTTGTTTGTTTCCATATCACTAAAGTGCCCTTGTTTTATAGTGGGCAACCTATCCCTGAAGTGACTTACACAGAGGAAGAAAAGAAAACATGGAGCATTGTCTTTCGGGAGCTAAAGACCCTTTATCCAACCCACGCCTGCTATGAGCACAACCATGTATTCCCATTACTGGAAAAGTACTGTGGTTTCCATGAGGATAATATCCCACAACTTGAAGATGTTTCCAGGTTCTTGCAAAGTAAGTTTAATATTAAGAAAGAGATGGTACAGTGGTTAGAGTTCTAGCTTTGTATCTGAGGGGCACAGGTTCAAATCCCTGGTCTTTCACAGACTGCCTACATGACCATGCACAAGTCACTAGCTTTCTTTCCTTGCTGACTGTAAAAAAGGAGTTTGTCATACTTCTTTATGTATGCAGGAGTGTTATAAGATATTCAGATGGTGAACATATAGGTGTCATAGCCACAAAGCTCTTTGTTCCTTGGTACCCAGCTTATAAGTAAAATAAGGAGAGAAACTGATGTAAAACACTGTCCAGTTCCTTGGGATCACAACAAAACCAGACTTTTAAATGTGACATCTTTCACTCCCTCTCTCCCTACAGGTTGCAGTGGATTTCGCTTACGTCCTGTTGCTGGCCTGCTGTCATCTCGGGATTTCTTGGCTGGTTTAGCATTCCGAGTGTTTCACTCTACACAGTACATTCGTCACGGATCCAAACCAATGTACACCCCAGAACCGTGAGTACTTTGACACAGAAAATAATCAGAAGCTCATTTAGCTGCATGGGGTGCGTCTACATGTGCATCCAGGACTGCAGCACGTTGAAGCCAGGTTGGAGCCCCTGAGCCTGAGTGAGACCCACAGCAGCCTCCTGCCCCCACCTCCACTTGCCTTCTGCATCTTCTGCCTCCCCACCTAGCCCTTTCTTCCCCACTTATTGTCAGGCTCAGTTTGGCTTTGGATCAGGTTGGGTTCCCTCCTGGGCATGGAGCACATGGAAACTCCATTCCCTGCCCTGCTAATGAGCAGCACCAAGGCTATTACATGGCTAGCAAGGGCTAAGCTTCCACGTGCTGTGCCACAGCGGGAATGGAGCCAGAGCAGTGTCTGACAGTAAGTGAAGGGGGGAGAGGAGAAGGGAAGTGGAGAAGTGGGAGAGAGGAAGAGGCAGAGACTTCAGAGAGTGTGGGGAGGAGGCAGAGGTTGTAGGGAGTCGGGGGGGAAGAGGTTGTGGGGAGCTGGGTGTGAGGGAGTGCTAGTTTTGGGGGTGAGGGAAGGAAGACTTCAAGGGGAAGAAATGTGGGGAGGCAGAGGGCAAGGGAGCTACCTGGCCCCGTCCTAGCCACCTGACCGCCCCTCCCCGTCACTTCTTTTCCTGCTGTAGCAGTGGGGTTGTAGGGGTGGGGGTGAATTTACGACAGTCCTCAAATAATTAGATTCTATACCTGGAAAATTAAAACAAACTTATAAGTTTTGCATATATAGAATCTAATTATTGGTGAGATCATCTTAAATTCAGGGTCAACTTAGATTCGAGTAAATATGGTATCGCTATATCTGCAAGCTGTTCTCTGCTCTGTTGACCTGTTTCCTTTCATTCTAGATGCGCCTCCACTGTCTACATATCTTTCCTACATAAATGTAATTCATTTGGTGATTTTTCTTTAGTGACATTTGCCATGAACTCCTAGGACATGTGCCTCTCTTTGCTGATCCAAGCTTTGCTCAGTTTTCACAGGTAAGAGCATACAGTACTTTATCATTATAATATAAGATTCTAGAGGCTGGATAATTTGAATAATTTATAAAAAGGTTATGGTGCTTTAAACCCGTAGCTTATCGATTTAAATATAGTAGATGTACCCTTCCTCAGTATTGTGATACCCAAAAACTTGCCTAAATCGTTCCTTACCATACAGGTAGTCCAATTTAAATACATGACCTATAGAAATTCTTGCCTAGTGCACATCTTCTGGACCATCACAACTACATCACAAACCTTTTACTTTAGTAGCCTTTGTTCCAGGTCCAAGGGGTTAGACAATGTGACTAACTGTCACAACCTCAGTAGGCGCTGTGAGTATCTCTCTTGTATCTCTCTGCTCCCTGGGATGGGCCCCCCAACTCACCTGCCATGACTTGATGGACTTTTAACTGAAAAGGAGGGGTTCAGTGGTGTTTCAAGCCCAGGCCCAGAGATGGGCATTCTCAATGCCACATCACAGTTGGTCATAGATTCATAGATGTTAGGGTCGGAAGGGACCTCAATAGATCATCGAGTCCGACCCCCTGCATAGGCAGGAAACAGTGCTGGGTTCAGATGACCCCAACTAGATGCCTATCTAACCTCCTCTTGAAGACCCCCAGGGTAGGGGAGAGCACTACCTCCCTTGGGAGCCCATTCCAGACTTTGGCCACTCTAACTGTGAAGAAGTTCTTTCTAATGTCTAGTCTAAATCTGCTCTCTGCTAGCTTATGGCCATTATTTCTTGTAACCCACAGGGGTGCCTTGGTGAGTAAATCCTCACCAATTCCCTTCTGTGCCCCCATGATGAACTTATAGGCAGCCACAAGGTAGCTTCTCAACCTTCTCTTGCGGAGGCTGAAGAGGTTCAGGTGCCCCAGTCTCTCCTCATAGGGCTTGGCCTGCAAGCCCTTAACAATACGAGTGGCCCTTCTCTGTACCCTCTCCAGGTTATCCACATCCCTCTTAAAGTGTGGCACCCAAAACTGCACGCAGTATTCCAACTGCGGTCTGACCAGCGCCCGATAGAGGGGAAGTATCACCTCCTTGGTTCTGTTCGTCATGCATCTGCTGATGCATGATAAAGTGCCATTAGCTTTTCTGATGACTTCGTCACACTGATGACTCATGTTCATCTTGGAGTCCA